ATAATAATAATAATAATAATAATAATAATAATAATAATAATAATAATAATAATTTTATTTAAAAAGCACCTTTCATGACACCCAAGGACACTTTACAGTAAGAACAAAGATCAACAGGAATAAATTACATACAGAATATAAAATGCGTAAAGAATATAAAATACATACAGCAAAGTTAAGGTTAAGCGAGTCTAAAGAGATGTGTTTTCAGAGCAGTCTTGAATATAGAAAGAGAGGTGGTGTTTCTTAAGTCAGGGGGTAGAGAGTTCCAGAGATGAGGGGCAGAGCAGGTGAAGGCCCTGCTTCCCATGGTGGAGAGGCAGGCAGAGGGTACATGGAGGTGTAGTGAAGAGGAAGATCTGAGAGAGCGAGAGGGGATGGAGATGTGTAGGAGGTCAGATAGGTACGGAGGGGCAAGGTTGTGGATAGCTTTGAAAGTGAGAAGAAGAATTTTGAAGACTATGCGTGATTTAACCGGGAGCCAGTGGAGCTGCTGCAGGACTGAAGTGATGTGGTTATAAGAGGAGGTTTGAGTTATGACACGGGCAGCTGAGTTCTGGACCAATTGTAGCTTCTGGAGAGATTTGTTGGGGAGGCCATAAAGAAGGGAGTTGCAGTAGTCAATCCGAGAAGTCACAAGACTGTGAACAAGGATGGCTGTGGAGCGGGGTGTGAGAGAAGGGCAGAGACGGTTAATACTTCGGAGATGGAAATAGGCAGATCGAGTGACGTTGTTGATGTGAGAAGTGAAGGAGAGTGGTGTCGAGGATGACACCAAGACTCTTGACCTGAGGCGAGGGGGATAGCAGGGAGTTGTTAAGGAGGATGAGAAGATTTTCTTATTTTGAAAGAGAGTTTTTGGTACAGACAAGAATGATTTCTGTTTTGTTACCGTTTAGTTGTAGGAAGTTGTTAGAAAACCAGTGATTTAGCTCATTGAGACAGTCGGTGAGGATGGAGGGTGGGTGGGTGGAGTTTGGTTTTGTTGACAGGTAGAGCTGTGTGTCATCAGCATAACAGTGAAAATGGACACCAAATTTACGGAAGATTTATGTCATTTTATTACTCCTCTGACCCCCCACAATGGGTAGATATGAAAACTCAAGGGATAAAATTAACATTTCCTTCATATTTGTATTCAAATTCAATAAAAAATTTACAAAAAGGCACCAAAAACCCAATTCTTAAAAATATGATCAGGGTATGGAGAGATGTTAACAAACTGCTACAGGATACACATAATCTATCTCAATACAGTCCAATCTGGGGCAACCACATGTTCACGCCCGGTAGAGAGGATGTGGCCTTTAAAGTGTGGTACAATAGAGTGGTGCAGAGAGTGGTGAAGGCTGCACAGAAATCTGTTGGAATCAGTCTCCCCACCATCACAGACATCTACACCTCCAGATGCAGGAAGAGGGCCACCTGCATCATGAAGGACCCCACCCACCCAGCACACACACTTTTTGCCCCACTCCCCTCAGGAAGGAGGTTAAGGAGCATTAAGTGTAGAACCACTAGACTGAGGAACAGCTTCTACCCTGATGCTGTTAGACTCATGAATCTCTAACTAGAATAATCACTGTGAAAAACCATATTATGTTGCTGCTGATCTGTTTCAATGTTGATGTGTTCATGCGTGCACATCTGCTCACAGACTCATGTTCATGTTTGTGCTGATGTTCAATGTTTTATGTTATGAGTGCTTAGTGTATATTTAGTTGATGTTTTTCTTAGTTCATATCTTAGATGTCATTACTGTTTTTCTTATACATTTTATTGTTGGATGTAACTGGGACCCTGCGTACATAATTTCGCTCCACCACATGTACCACATGAGGTGCGAATGACAATAAAGAAACTCTGACTCTGACTCTGAATAACGGTATTAAAAAAATTCTAGAACTCTATTGACTCAGAGGTTCCAATGAGCTTTCAAGAGCTTCAAAATAAATTCCACTTAAATAAAAATCAATTATTTTAGATACCTCCAGGTTAGGAACTTTATATCAAACAGACAAAATAATCAGCTGTCAAAACCCACTTTAACAACACTAGAGAAAATGTTGATAAAGGATAGTCAAAGGAAAGGTATAATCTCAGATTTTTATAATCTAATGACATCCCAAATGTCTGAGGGTTCCAATCACGGACTCAGAGCTTGAGGGGACAACCTATCACTGGATCTGACAGAATAAGATTGGCAGAAAGCTTGCTCTTTGACCCATACCCATTCAGTCAATACACGTCTTCAATTAATACAGTTTAAATGGCTGATGCGCATTTATATAGCACCAGCAGATATAAATATATATATATATATATATATATATATATATATATATATATGGAGATATACCCGATGTGCGCTCAAAATGTATAAAGCAGAGAGGTACATTAGTACATTGTATTTGTTATTGTGAAAAAGTAATACTTTTTTGGGAAGAGGTCAAAGTGGTGATGGAAAAAATTATTAGTAAAGGTATTATTATGGACCCCAAGTTATTTTTGCTCGGACTCTACCCTGAGAGATACATTTATACGAGGAGTGAACGGATTCTCCTGGGTACAGGACTACTGATTGCCAAACGATGTATATCAATACACTGGAAGATGTCCCACAGACCAACAGTAAATCAATGGCTATGTCAAATGACAAACTCTTCCACTTGAAAATATTACTTACATATTGAAAAGCAAGATGGACAAATTTGAAACAATTTGGAGACCTTTCATTTCATATATCAAAAAGTTGGAGACAGAAGATCAGATTCTGTACTGTTCAAATCTTTAGAGACTGTAAGGGCACTTGTTTGTTTGTTTTGTGTTTGATTTTTACAATTTTCATAATGTATACTTTTCCAAGCGATGCATATAATTATACTTTCTATGTAATTTTATTTCATAAAAAATGCAAATAAAACAATTTTGGGAAAAAAATGGCTGTGGCAGTATCTTGACTCAATCTGTAGATGTAAATCAAATTATTATTTTCTGAAAATTTTAATAAATTCAACAGATATTCTGCTGTCAGACACACCTAAGAGATTAAGTAATAGTGGAAGGAAAGCCCAATGCGACCATTAACTGTATTTTTTTGTCTTTAGGCTTAGGCATGTGCTCAACAAGTAGCAGCTACACTCCCCCGATGCCGAGTTCTGCAATCATCCTTTCTACTAATGATGGGACAACAGTAAACCCGATGACTATTGAACCCACCGTCAAAGGCATCACAACTCCAACTAATGAGCCACAAGTAACAAACGCTCCTGAAATCACAACTTCTGCAAGCCCTTCTAGTGATTTAAGCAAGACTTCCACACAAACTATGACAAATGCTGCAGCTACAATTCCTCCTGTCACATCACTTCCTTCAAATGAGCCAGAACAAACACCACCGCCAAAAACCACAAAGTCCTCATCACCACCTTCTTCCACTTCTGATGGCCATCATCTCACTACAGCAGGGGCTCTTCCTCTTGGTCCTGCAACCATCAGTAAATCCAGGACCACAGCACAGACTACACCACATGGTATCGATAGAAGCCTGATCCAAACAACCACACCATCACAACCATCTAATCCTCCTGACCAACCCTCTGAGTTGCCTACTTCACTTCCAGACATTCAGGGCAACAAGGGGACAACCTTAAACACAGAGGCCCCAACATTTGCTCCTCCACCTGAGAAGACATCCACCAAGAGCTGGTCAGGTAAGGCTGTTTTTGATCACTCCTGGACCCAAATGTAACATCCAAACTGCTGCTGAGGGTGCAGACCTAATTCTGGCAGGGAAGCCCTGGTAAAGTTTTTTGAAGTTTAAAGTGGAGAAAGTCATTGATTTTCTTGTACTTTACAGAATGAACAGAAGATTACTATCCATATCAAAGTCAAAGACAAATTTGTTTAAGAGTATATTTATGACAAGAGATCACCAAAGCACTGCACATATATTGAACTGGTCTATGCAAATTAACTAACTGGGGGGTGGTGGTGCAGAGGTTAGAGAAGGTGGGCCTGTGATCGGAAGATCGCTGGTTCAAGCCCCGGTACCGACAACATCAAAAATGTGGGTGGGGTAGGTGAAGCACCCCCACCTGCCCCCACCCTCATTCGCCTCACTCTGGGCCCATGAGGCCCTTAACCCCCATCTGCTCCCAAAACAGGTCTCTCTTGAAAATGAGTTCTCGTGGCTCAATGAGACTATCCATATAAATAAAGGCTAAATGAAAAAAAAAGCAAATTAACTAACAAAAAATTAATGTAAATAAAAAGATCACAAGAATCAGCTGGTACAGCTGTTGCATCTCAGTGAGCAGGGCACCAGTTCAAATCCCAGCCGGGGACATTTCTGGGTGGAGTTTGCATGCTGTCTCCATGCTGCATGGGTTGTCTCAGAGTCCTCTGGTTTCCTCCCACAGATCAAAAACATGCATGTTAGGCTGACTGGTAACCCTAAATTGTCCTTAGGTGTCCCTCTGATGGACTGGAGACATGTCCAGGGTGTCCCAGTGGTGGACTGGAAACCTGTCCAGGTGTTCTGGTGATGGACTGGAGAACTGTCCAGGTGTCCCTGTGATGGACTTGAGACCTTTACAGGGTTTTCCTGTGATTGACAGGAGACATGTTCAGGTGTCCCTGTGATGAAGTGGAGACCACTTCAGGTGTCCCTGTGATGGAGTGGAGACCTGTCCAGGGTGTTCCTGTGATGGACTAGAGACCTGTCCAGGGTGTTCCTGTGATGGACTGGAGACCTGTCCAGGGTTTTCCTGTGATGGACTGGAGAACTGTAAATGTGTCCCTGTGATGAACTGGAGACTTGTCCAGGGTGTCTTTGTGAAGGACTGAGACCTGTCCAGGGTGTCCCAGTGATGGACTGAAGAACTGTCAATGGTGTTCCTGTGATTGACTGGAGACCTGTCCTGGGTGTTCCTGTGATAGACTGGAGACCTGACAATGTGTCCCTGTGATGGACTGGAGACCTGTCCAGGGTGTATCTGTGATGGACTGGATACTTGCCCAGAGTGTCCCTGTGATGGACTGGATACCTGT